TTAAACAAAAATCTTGAGATTAATTTTTAAAAGAGACAGTAAAAAAAAGTTATCTTACCCTTGGAACTTATGTGTTACATCAATGAACAGTCACTCACCAATATTTTAATGTGTTACAGGTAATTGAAAGACAAGTCATTGTCTCTTCAAGAACCCTGAGCATCTTACAGCTCCAGAGTAAAAACAGATTTTACAATTTATTACATTTATTAAGAAAGTAATTTTGTTACAGTAACTGATTTATAGTTTGTTATAATAAAACTACTGTTAACATTTATTTGTCAGACATTTTATCCTTTACTTGATGTTCACTTAATCTATAAATTTAATTTAATAGGCTGACGTTATGTGATAATTGTTTTGCAGCTGCTATACGTATCCAATCACCAAGTTTAAGGTGTCCTTGGATAGGTTGGGGCACTTACATTTTCCATCCTACAAAACATTAATGCAAATTAGTTAGGGTATACAGACGTTTTACAAGTTAGGTCCTTATGGAAACAAGGTCACACCAAGACCATTCAAGATGACATATCTCAACTATAAATAATTATTAGAACATAAACGACGTGTTTTCCAGTTCATAGCAATTTAATAAACATATTTCAAAAGAAAAACAGAAAATCGTACCAACGGAATAGGCCAGCAATAGAAATTTATGGTAATTTAATATTTTCTTGAGGCAAATTTTAAATAATGCATTTAATTAATAATTACTGATAATTTTATCAAAAAGGTGTTAGATATTGTTTATTAAGAAGCAACTAACATGTACAAACGAAAAAATCGTTTTTTGTTAGTTGGGTTGTTATGGAACCGAGGTAACACCAGCGCCATTCAATATGACATAGCTCAACTATAAATAGTTATTAGAACATAAACGAAGTGTTTTCCAGTTCATAACAATGTAATAAACATATTTCAATAGAAAAACAGAAAATCGTACCAACGGAATAGGCCAGCAATAGAAATTTATGACGATTTTTATTTTCTTGGGGCAAATTTTAAATAATGCAATCAATTGATAATTACTGATAGTTTTATCAAAAAGGTGTTAGATTATGTTTATTAAGATGTAACAAACATGTACAAACGAAAATAATCGATTTTTTGTTAGTTGGGTTCTTATGGAACCGAGGTCACACCAGTTTAATTCAAAGTTACCTATCTCAACTATAAATAGTTATTAGAACATAAACTATGTGTTTTCCAGTTCATAACAATGTAATAAACATATTTCAAAAGAAAAACAGAAAATCGTACCAAGGGGATAGGCCAGCAATAGAAATTTATGGTAATTTAATATTTTCTTGAGGCAAATTTTAAATAATGCATTTAATTAATAATTACTGATAATTTTATCAAAAAGTGGTTAGATATTGTTTATTAAGAAGCAACTAACATGTACAAACGAAAAAATCGATTTTTAGTAAGTTGGGTTGTTACGGAACCGAGGTCACACCAGTTTAATTCAAAGTTACCTATCTCAACTATAAATAGTTATTAGAACATAAACTATGTGTTTTCTAGTTCATAACAATGTAATAAACATATTTAAAAAGAAAAACAGAAAATCGTATTAACGGAATAGGCCAGCAATAGAAATTTATGGTAATTTAATATTTTCTTGAGGCAAATTTAAATAATGCATTTTATTGATCATTACTGATATTTTTTTTCGAAAAGGCGTTAGATATTGTTTATTAAGAAGTAACTAACATGTAAAAACGGAAAAAATAGATTTTTTGTTAGTTGGGTTGTTATGGAACCGAGGTAACACCAGCGCCATTCAATATGACATAGCTCAACTATAAATAGTTATTAGAACATAAACGAAGTGTTTTCAAGTCCATAACAATGTAATAAACATATTTCAAAAGAAAAACAGAAAATCGTACCAACGGAATAGGCCAGCAATAGAAATTTATGACAATTTCTTATTTTCTTGGGGCAAATTTTAAATAATGCATTCAATTGATAATTACTGATAGGTTTATCAAAAAGGTATTAGATTATGTTTATTAAGATGTAAAAAACATGTACAAACGAAAAAAATCGATTTTTTGTTAATTGGGTGGTTATGGAACCGAGGTCACACCAACGCCATTCAAGGTGACATATCTCAACTATAAATAGTTATTAGAACATAAACTATGTGTTTTCCAGTTCATAACAATGTAATAAACATATTTCAAAAGAAAGACAGAAAATCGTACCAACCGAATAGGCCAGCAATAGAAATTTATGGTAATTTAATATTTTCTTGGGGCAAATTTTAATAATGCATTTAATTGATCATTACTGATAATGTTTTTCGAAAAGGCGTTAGATATTGTTTATTAAGAAGTAACTAACATGTAAAAACGGAAAAAATCGTTTTTTTGTTAGTTGGGTTGTTATGGAACCGAGGTAACACCAGCGCCATTCAATATGACATATCTCAACTATAAATAGTTATTAGAACATAAACTATGTGTTTTCCAGTTCATAACAATGTAATAAACATATTTCAAAAGAAAAACAGAAAATCGTACCAACCGAATAGGCCAGCAATATAAATTTATGGTAATTTAATATTTTCTTGTGTCAAAACTTAAATAATACATTAAATTGATAATTACCGATAATTTCATCGAAAAGGCGTTAGAAGTTGTTTATTAATAAGTAACTAACATGTACAAACGATAAAAATCAATTTTCGTAAGTTAGGTTCTTATGGAACCGAGGTCACACCAGTTAAAATCGAAGTCACATAGCTTAACTATAAATTTGTCTTAAAACATAAGCGACGTGTTTTCCAGTTCATAACAATGTAATAAACATATTTCAAAAGAAAAACAGGAAATCGTACCAAGGGGATAGGCCAGCAATAGAAATTTATGGTAAGTTATTATTTTGTTGAGACAAAACTTATATAATACATTACATTGATAAATACTAATATTTTTTTCGAAAAGGTGTTAGGTACTCTTTATTAAGGAGTAACTAACATATATAAACGAATAAAATTGATTTTCATTAGTAGGTTGGGTTCTTATGGAACCGAGGTCACACCAACGCCATTCAATATGACATATCTCTACTATAAATGAGTGTTAAAACATAAACGACGTGTTTTCCATTTCATAACAATGTCATAAACATATTTCAAAAGAAAAACAGGAAATCGTACCAAGGGGATAGGCCAGCAATAGAAATTTATGGTAATTTAATATTTTCTTGGGGCAAATTTTAATAATGCATTTAATTGATCATTACTGATAATGTTTTTCGAAAAGGCGTTAGATATTGTTTATTAAGAAGTAACTAACATGTAAAAACGGAAAAAATCGTTTTTTTGTTAGTTGGGTTGTTATGGAACCGAGGTAACACCAGCGCCATTCAATATGACATATCTCAACTATAAATAGTTATTAGAACATAAACTATGTGTTTTCCAGTTCATAACAATGTAATAAACATATTTCAAAAGAAAAACAGAAAATCGTACCAACCGAATAGGCCAGCAATATAAATTTATGGTAATTTAATATTTTCTTGTGTCAAAACTTAAATAATACATTAAATTGATAATTACCGATAATTTCATCGAAAAGGCGTTAGAAGTTGTTTATTAATAAGTAACTAACATGTACAAACGATAAAAATCAATTTTCGTAAGTTAGGTTCTTATGGAACCGAGGTCACACCAGTTAAAATCGAAGTCACATAGCTTAACTATAAATTTGTCTTAGAACATAAGCGACGTGTTTTCCAGTTCATAACAATGTAATAAACATATTTCAAAAGAAAAACAGGAAATCGTACCAAGGGGATAGGCCAGCAATAGAAATTTATGGTAAGTTATTATTTTGTTGAGACAAAACTTATATAATACATTACATTGATAAATACTAATATTTTTTTCGAAAAGGTGTTAGGTACTCTTTATTAAGGAGTAACTAACATATATAAACGAATAAAATTGATTTTCATTTGTAGGTTGGGTTCTTATGGAACCGAGGTCACACCAACGCCATTCAATATGACATATCTCTACTATAAATGAGTGTTAAAACATAAACGACGTGTTTTCCATTTCATAACAATGTCATAAACATATTTCAAAAGAAAAACAGGAAATCGTACCAAGGGGATAGGCCAGCAATAGAAATTTATGGTAATTTTTTAAGTACGATGGGTTCTTATGGAATCCAAGTTACACCAACGCCATTCACGGTGACATATCTCAACTGTAAACTAGTCAGGGTATACGAGTAAATAAGATCGTTGTTAAAGGGGAATAGTTCAGCAATAAAAGACAAAGGCCTATTGTAATATTCTTACACATTTCAACCAACTAACAGTACGAGTGTACAAATCATTATAACTTAGTATAAGGTTTAGTGCTAGGATAGGCTTTAAGCGTTTACTTTGTTACAACTCCATGAAAACATTAATTCATTTATGCAGTTTTTTACATATATTTTAGACACTTGGTATAATCAACGCTTGGCGGGAACAACCGAACGCCATCTTGGCCGTGTGCCGCCAAAAAAAAGTTCCCGCCACTGATATTTTGGAGGTTATGTCGTCGGCTCTATGACGAATCCTACTGTGACGCCATCATTGTTATGACGTTTTACTGTGACGTATATTCGTCGGAGGGGAAGTAGGAGAAGTGGAATGGGTTATTGCTCATCTATTGCCAGTTTCACGCCGATAATCCGCTTTGCAATCTTAATAAACCAGTATCATCACTTAACCTGTAAGATAGGCCTAGATTGAAATTGTATCGACTATGACTATGCCTAGGCCGTCAGTTTGAAAACACTAAGATCTTTTTAACTAAGCCTAGACATAAATTGTTAGTAAAATTAGAGAGCGTTCAGGTTAGTAAAATAGCTTGACTAAGTTTATACTATCATAGTGTCAGCGGAATGCATTTATTAAGAATACGTAATTACTTAGGCGCTTATAGGCTGGACTACAATTTTAAAACCAAAGGGGGGTATTCTTACCTACTGCTTCATCTAATTAACTAGGCCTAGGTAGTTGGGATAGTCAACTCTCGTGTGTTGACCAAAGATATCGCTCATACGAAACTCTAGTGGAAACATTTCGGATGTTGTAATGTAACACAATAAAAATCTAATACCTAAACGTATGACAATAAACACCAAAACTGTAAATAAATAAATGTTGTACAACACAGTAATAAGTTACTTCAATTGACAGACAAGAAACGAGAAACGACAGGTCCACACACACAGACAGGTAGGTGATGATGATTCGTTCGATTCCATTCCAATCCGACCGAATTCCAATCATCAAGATCAAGGATTCAGGGAATGTATGTGTAGACAGACATAGAGGAAAGAGGAACGCAAATAATGATGGCAATTTGGCAAATAATATGTATAAGAAACCAGAATTTGGAAAAGTGGAAAATGCAAAGAGGAAACAATTATTCTACTATCGTAGAATAAACAAATGGTGTTTTTTATTCTATGGTACAACAAAAGGCATAAAAGGTTATGTCTTATGTCCTATTCGTGCCTATTCCTATGGCTCACTTAGCGCAGACCAGACCGTCTGGTCTGGCGTCTGGCACTTGTCTTATCGTGTGTGGGGCTGTCTGCAGACCGATTTTCTCGGACCAGACTGTCTGCGTGTCTGATGGTTGAACCCTCAGACCACAGACGGTCTGAGGTTCCCCCACCACTATTTTGTCTGGTCTGTGAGTGTGTAGCGCTGTCTGTCAGACGGCCGACCATCGTGACAATCTTTATCCATTTGTTGGAGTTCTCACCACGGTCTCTCAATTACGAATTAGGACCGTCTGGTCTGGGAGTGTGTAGAGCCGTCCAAGACGGTCTGGTTGCAGCCAGACGGTCTGGTCTAGAGGTCTGGTCTGGTAATGTGTGGGGGGCTTTACGGCTCTTACTTTCATTAATAATAACCTACAACAACGCTATAGTGAAATCGTTATTGATTTAGACTTATAGGTATATCAAAAGAAACGAATGAAAATTACGAATGAAATTCGGATTAGGGGCACTGCTCTTCACTGGTTCTCCTCATATCTGGAGGGGAGAAGCCAGTCAGTCACGAACCCTGCAGTAGATGAAAAGGGGTGCTTGAAAAATATTTATTCCTCAGAAGCTTTAGTTAGCCAAGGGGTGCTCCAGGGTTCCATCCTGAGACCAATCCTCTTCCTCATTTTCATAAACATCCTACCATCGAGTGTGAAGAAGACAAATATATGCGTATTTGCCGACGGCACCTCCCTCGATCACTATCTCCAATCCCAGAGTATGGAGGTGTTAGAACAAATCACTTTTGTCGATCAAACTGTCTTCTTCATTGTATCATGAGGAAGGGAATTATTTATCCCTAAATCCTGAGAAAACCCAATTTCTACAACTTCAAATTTCTAAAAGACGATCCCAGAAAAATTAGAGTATTCTAAATGTCCTGTTAGACGAACCCACAATCTGTCCCTCACAAAATGTGAAGTCTTGGAGTACTCCTTGATGAAAATGTCAAATGTTATCAACATATTGAACATGTACTAAAAAGGGTTTCGGTAGAGGTATTTTCATGCTCCAACAAACAGCCAACACCTATGTACTCCTGTCTGCATACTACGGACTCATCTATCCCTATCTGACATACATTCCCCCAGGAACCCAGAACCCCAGAGAACACTGTTTTTGTTCAGACTCTAGAGGAAGGCGATCCGTGTATTGTGTTCTCCCCTCCCCTCCAAAACGTCACTCCTGCAAAGAAATTTTCAGATAATTCAGAATCCTTACCTTTCCATCCATCTATATTCTGGAAACGTTGTCATTCGCTAAGAAAAACATATCTTCTTTCACCACTCCAGTCAACCATAGATATTCTTTCGGGAGCACTTCAAACCTTGCCATTCCCCGTCATTCAACTGCATTTTTCCAGAGGCACTTTTACTACAATGCTGTGAAACTCTTCATAGAATAATTAATTATTAAAACTCATTTTAAGTAAACTCAATCAAAACTATTTATTTACAAAACCAAAACAATAATGTAAACAAACCAAATAGCAGATGATTTATGTAATAGCAGAGATAGAATAGAAAATCAAGTGTGGTGACACAAGTACTACCACGACTTAAAATACAAACAAAAGGAGTTTTCTGCCAAACAAGAAGGCAGGAACAGTACAAGAAAGGACGGGAGAGCTATATCATACCCATGTAGCACAGATGGTTGGGCCAACGTTGGTAAATTGTGGAGCCACACAGTTGGCCAACGGTAGAAATGTCACCTCTTTAAACTGTTTTCCAGCCAACCATTGTCCAACCGTTTTATTTCACACAAAATAATAAAGATTTAGTACAAAAAGCATAATTATTAGTTGAGTAAATTGATTAAATAGTTCATAAAAACAAATTTTGAAAAAAAACTAGAACAAAATTTTTTTGGCCCAGACGGGTCTCGAACCCGGGTCCTTCGACTTATGAGCCTCTTACTTTACCACTGAGCTATCTGTGATTGCTGATATAGAGAGTTTTCAAGTGGTGAAAGAGTAGCCGACAGTTGCAATGGTCGCAATACTTCAAACATTTTTGATACTACACAGTATAATATGATTCTGTTAATCTGTTAAGGCATCATAAGTAGTTTTTTTTTTTTTTTGGAGTTAGAGAGGATACTGGTATTTGAATGATTAATTAATTACCGTTAGATTGTTAATGCTATTATAATTGCCTGTTATATGATTAATTACTCTTTCCCCTTAAATTGTTGCAAATAAGTTAAAGAATATTAATTTAAAAAATATTTGCATTATTAAAATTATTAAAATTCATTGTTGTAGCGCCGGAACTGTAATATATAAAATATCTGGTTTTACAATACCTTTATCAGTTCCAAAAACTTTTGGAAACTTTTGGAACTGATAAAGGTATTGTAAAACCAGATATTTTATTATAATTATGTTGTGAAAGCTAGACCCAGAGAATGAAAGTCGTGTAAACTCAACTATGGACCATTGTTGGTCCAACAAAAGTATCTTTTGTTGGTCCAACGGAGTGAAAAACGGTTGGACAACGGTTGGCTTGATGTATGATACCCAGCAATGCATATTGATGTATTTCATTAACAATGAACCAATGTTGGTCCACAGTTGTAAATATTGGTTGGCCCAACTACGAGATATACAGTTGGACAACGGTTGGTTGGTTGTGGAAGCTCCAACCAACCATCGACCAACTGTCCCACAGTTGGCCAACGTTGGCCCAACCATCTGTGCTACATGGGTAAACAGTTTTAGTTGGGGGAGATATAAAGAGAAAACACGCTGACCTCGGTTATTAACTCCCTCGGGCCATCTTTGTCTGACTTCCACTTCAAATTCTGGACTGTTGCTTCCTACTGCAAACCTATCTCGTACTCGTTCATCTAAGCTATCTCCATATTTACAACTTCTAGCTAAAGACTTCAATCTGTTATAAAACAAAATAAATGACTCACCATAATTTCTTATTGCTCTTTCAAACTCAAACCTTGTTGCAAAAGGTCCTTGTAGGCTTGAACAACCGGTTGGCTTCCTCTTTGGCTTCATCGTAGGTGCACTCCTCCCAGGCCTTGAATACATCTGGTCCGACAGTGGCCTGAGGCTGAATTTTTATTTCAGCATAAATTTTGCCAACAGTGTCATTTGGAGGCTTCTGATTTGCTGAGGAAACACGGAACGACCATTCACACCATTACCGGAACGATTGCCGACATTGGCTTTGGTGGCATAGTGGATAGGGTGCTGGACTGATATACGGGAGGGCGCCGGGTTTAATTCCCTTCGACAGCAGTAACTTTTTGTCTAGGATTTTTTTATTATCAGCAAGTTTGGTTGGTTTGGTTAGGTTATGACATTTTAATTTTATAATTAAAACATAATAAAATTGAATTTGAGCCATTTATAGTTTTATTTGATGAACAGAATTATTTTTTGATTAAACCTTCATTCGATTTTTCATTATCAGCAAGTCTGGTTAGTTTGATTAGAATTATGGCAGTTTAATTTCATGATTAAAAAAATATAAAACTGAATTTGAGGCATTTATAATGTTATTTAATGAACAGAACTAATTTTTCGATTAGTAAACCTTCAATAGTCAATCAGAAGCCTCCAAATGACACTGTTGGCAAAATTAATCCTGAAAAACAAAATCGTGCGAACAGGATGTGGGTGAATTTAGAAGGGAGTTAAAGACCATCCTGATAGATAAGGCGGTATACAGCGTCCGTGACAACTGGTATACTTTTACTTCTATAAGGTTGTTGTTGAATTAACCTGTAGTTGCTTGTAAATACATAAGTTGTTTTCACTCTAAGATAAACAATATGTTTGATCAATTAAAAATAATTTGACTTGGCTAATGTATTTTGATCTGTCCTAATAAATGACTTATTGACTTATAACATGGGGATGGAATGTCTACTTGTATGAATAGTCATGAATAAATCATAAAAATAATATGGGCGATTGTATATTGTCAATATACAGGTTAAATTTATCATGCTTTTACTATATAGTGGTGGTGTATATCCAGGGAAGGAGATTTGGCGATTTCAACCCCCCCCCTTGACTTTAAAACGTAATACTTTACAATTAATTGTTTCTACACTTTCAAAACTGTTTCGTATATCTGTAAATATCCTTAAAAACGCAGATTTACATGTCTCCTTCCCAGGGATTCATTCCGTACCCCCAAACCCCCGGCGTATCCCCCTCTTTTAGGTCATCCTAGTCAGAATTTTCTGCGAAATTTTAAATGTCGTTGCTAGACTACCATAATAAACTAGCATAATAATAATAATAATAATAACGCGGAAACTCTTGGCAAGCAGTTAACACCCTACTGATGATGAATGAGTTTGGGGCAATTATGTAAAAGGATACAATGATAGGTAAATGTTTTTATTAACAAAATATTGTATTAAATGGGTTTGTTTTTTACTACTACAATATTAACCTATTTCCACTGATTTATTTTTAATGTCTTAATCCTTTGGTAAAATTCAATATCCATTTACTAAGATAATTGGCAGTGCATAGGCAATTTTGCGAGGGCTTTTGTTATGTTATTCCAGTAGGTAAATAAAACCATAAAACATACTACCACGGGTCGCCGGATTTCTACCCCCGGATATTTACCCCCATGAAAAAACACCTACGTCATTTTGACGTCACGAGGGGCGGGGCTTATACAT